GAGTAATCTGCGAGTGCCCTTGATTTCTCGACGGTATACAGTTGTTAGAGCCGTGGAGGGCAAAACAACAGAAAAATCCATAAACTAAATAAAATAAGACGGACTTGAATTAAGTGAGTAGATAATTAATTTCCAATGAGAGTTTGTACCGGTAACAAATATTGGAATGAATAGAAATTCTTCTTTGAAGATTGTTTCTGATTTACTATTTAAATTAAAACATAAATTAAATCAAATATACTAATTTATTAATCATTTTAAAACACTAGCATACCTTCTGCACTTCCTTTTTCTCCGTCTGTTGTATTACAGGTCTTGAACTTTTTCACTACAAGTTGGTCTGAGTCCGATATTTTTCTTTTGTTATCAACAGGCGAATCTGTAAAATGAAATTTTACTATTGTTCCTCTACCTGAATACAGATTTCTACCATTAAAACAATATTTTTATGAACTATTATTTCAATAACATCAACCCCATAAACAAGGTCTCCTCAGAAACAAGCAAAAAAAATGTTTAAGATGTTATCCTGAAATTTTGTTGTTTTTCATTCTCATCAGTTTCCGTACAGTACTTGTTTTTAATAATTTCAAAATAAATGAAAACAAATCGCATACCTGCCACAAATAGATTCTGTACTTTAGCTGTTGGCATTACAATAAGTTCTCCTGTTTTATCACAATTTATATACTCGTTCTTTAAGCAGTACTCAAGTTCTTGAAAGTGTGGTGTCTCTGGGTTCACGCAGACAAAGCAAAGTATGTTCAGAGAATAGCCAACAACTTTCTTAGACGGATATACCTCATCTAGGTTTTGTTTTAACATGTTCAAAACCTGTAACAAAGAAATAGAATAACATTTTAATATTTCATATTTTATAATATGATGGTTAGCCATTTGGTATTAAATCTATGGGCATCGATTGATGGGGGACGGGGGACATTTGGTATTAAATCTAAAATATAATCAACATGACCAAACAGTTAATGACGTCATTACCTCTGTACATACGCTGGGATGCGGCTTGCACGTTGGCTTGTCCACACATTGTTCATCTCGCTCTTTCATCCGTGATATTTCAAGCTGCAGATTACAAGTAATATATTTCACAAAAAAAAAATTATTTACTTTCTTGTACCTAAATTTAAAATATTTTGTAATATCTATAAATTGGAGTGACTCCCCTTCCCCTTTAATACACTGCCAAGGGCATAATAAACTCGTGTTAATTCCGGGGTGATCCCGGGTGCATTTCGCATTTACATCGAATGAAAAAGTCCTGGTTGATCCCGAGTTGCTCTTATTTTACACCGGCAACAAACTCGGGTTCAAATAACGCACTCAATTTTTGTTGCGATGAAGATCATCACTTTGCTCAAGTTCCTCGTCATCACAAAGCCAGAATTATTGTCAATATTGAAGAAATGCACCTGCAAATTTTTTTTAAATTATGCAAATTAAAATCAGCAGTTTTGATATCAAGTCTATACTGGCGCGTAGATGGTTTAATTTGAAAAGAGTCTAGGCCTAGCCCGTTGTTAGCAAAGTTTAGGACTACATGACCATAGCTGCAGTAGGCACCAAGGTAAGGCCTAATTCCGAAATCAAATTTGGTGCTGTTTACACTGGCGACTTCAGAATGCACCCGGGTTGTCCTACGCTGAATGCGTCCTGCACGTCCATCCTGGAATGTTTAGCAACCCGAGTCGGACTTTTTGACGTTTACACTAACCACAACTTGAGAGATTTTAACCCGGGTATTGGAAAATCCTGGGTAATGTTCAAAATTTTTCTTGCAGTGTAAAAGGGGTATTAGATGGACTCACAAGAGATTCATTGTCCATTTGTCCACCATCTTCTGCGGAATTATTTTACTTTGCTCATTTTAGTTCATATAAATATTTGTTTAAAAATGGTCGAAATATACTGTAATTTAATTTATTTCTATATTGTAAAGGTATGAACAAAAACAGCAAAAGGCCTAACAAATATATAATTTAATAGTAGACATGTTTAACAACACTGAATATTGAAAAAAGGTATGTTTTTAGGCAAAATATTAATTTCTTGTTGCCCAAGCTGAACAGGACTAAAATCTTTATTTTTTTTTTCTAGAAGTACACATTTTAAAAACAAAAGACATACTTACTTTCAAAGACTGTTTGTTGTCAATGAAAATCCGACCTAGTCTCACACAATGCTTATCATCGAATATAATTTCAGCCTTATTCTGAAACAATTTAGGGTCACCACGGCAACCTCTATCCTGACTCAGGCTTACAAATCTAACGACCAAGACATCGTAGACGGCGTCGGGAAGAAAGTCTTTAGGCGTCACATAGATGGATACTGTCTGCTCATTGTCTTTCTTAATCTCCAATCTATTATTAGGCATGGTCTTCATCCGGGAAGGCACGACAAAAAGTCGAGTGTCCTCTTCTGGTGCATTCTTTATTTATAAACAATGAAAAAAACAATTTACATCAATCAATGGGAGGTGGAAAATGTACATTATAATTTAGTCACCTCCCAACTTCTACAAACCAATAGTATTTTCCCACCAAAATATATAAAAAATACTAAATTTAATTATATAATAGAACATCCATATAATCAAAAATTTACAGCCTGATAGGTATATAGAGGCTCGGGCCTACGACGGTTTATCACATATCTAGTAAGTAAACATAACTGGTTGTCTGTACTTGCAATAACCCTAGCAATAACCTACCTTTTCAAAGAGAAGCCCAAATGTCTTCATGAGTTCAATGCAGTCTTCAAAGACGTCATTGTGATCGTGACTGCCAGTAAGTTCATTTTTCCATAAATAACGTACTAGACATTCCTCAAGAATCCCTTCTTTATCCAATTTACGCCAATACTTTACCATCACTGGAATCTACATGAAGATAAAACAAACTAACATATGGACATTAAATTCTAGAGGAGTCCTTAAGACAACTAAACAATTCTCTTCACTATCGGAAGCTCACAGAGGACCCCACTCCGGAAATTTCTAAGGAAGTGAAAAAATCTGTATTTAAGATGGTTAAAAAAGGTTCCATCGATCCCGAAATTGGACCCCATCTCATCCAGGTCGATCCAGCACCAGGACGTTTCTATGTCCTACCCAAAATCCACAAAGCAGGCCATCCTGGCAGATCCATCATTTCGGGCAACGGTACTGCTACAGAAAAAAATCTCTGAATATGTGGATGATTTATTGAGACCATATGTTGTTGCTCTCCCCTCGTACATTCAGGACTCCACGGACTTTATCCGCAAAATTAACCAAATTTCAAATTTACCTAATAATACTGTTCTGGCTACACTTGATGTTTCGTCATTATATACTAATATCCCTCATGAAGAAGGTGTTAATGCGTGCATTTCAAATTACAAACAAATTCGGGGCAAAACCCCATCTAAATCACATCTACGTGAAATTATCATGCTGATTCTGACTAATAATAACTTTGTTTTCGGCGACGGTCATTACCTACAAATTCATGTAACAGCGATGGGCACTAAAATGGCTCCATCTTTTGCTAACTTATTTATGGGACAATTTGAGGCCAATTTCCTGTCCCTACAGCTCAAGAAATCAGATGTTTGGTTTCGTTACATTGATGATATCTTCATGATCTGGACCCATGGTGAAGATAGTTTGGATACGTTCCTATTGAATATTAATTCGGCTCATCCCACAACCAAATTCACTGCTAACAAATCCACAAGCAGTGTAGATTTTCTGGACATCACCGTGACCATGGAAAATGGGAGGGTTTCTTTTCTGCAAGTTGCGAGTTGCGAGTCACAAAATGCGAGTTGCGAGTCACAAAATGCGAGTTGCGAGTTACAAAATGCGAGTTGCGAGTCACAAAATGCGAGTTGCGAGTCACAAAATGCGAGTTGCGAGTCACAAAATGCGAGTTGCGAGTCACAAAATGCGAGTTGCGAGTCACAAAATGCGAGTTTTGCGAGTCACAAAATGCGAGTTACAAAATGCGAGTTGCGAGTCACAAAATGCGAGTTGCGAGTCACAAAATGCGAGTTGCGAGTTACAAAGTGCATATACATATACAGTAATACAGTAGTTTGTAAGTTATCATTTACTAAAATAATTTTAGGGTAGTAAATAATTGCTATGTTATTACTTTTAATCTAAGATCAGTTTACGATAGAAAACACAGCAATCAATTATAATGCTATATGCTCAAGCTTGCTACCTTGGGCAAATTAATTTCAAATTACTTATTTAATAATACAATATATTATGATATAGAACATTTTTATTTTGAAACAGATAGAGCTTTTTTGTTTGACTTCTTATATAAATATAAATATACATATATATATAC